TTCCAAATCATGACATAGAGACTTTTTATTAATTATGAATGTTAGGCCTAGCTGAGGCTCGTATTTTAGCTAGCTAGCTCTCTCAACTTAGATTAACCTGTTTCTCTTCTACTTTTTGCCTCTGGGCTTTTTACCTTTCTTCATCCTATATGTCTGTCTTTCCTTCTTACTCAGTGGCTGGTGGGCCGGCCCCTGATCTCTCCCTCATTCTCTGTCCTCTTCTTCTCCCATTCTTCTCTCTCAAGTCGAGATTTCTCCTCCTATTTATTCTCTCTGCCCGCCTATCCTTTCTCTATTGACTGTTCAGCTTTTTATTAAACCAATCAGGTGCCTTAGGCAGGCAAGGCGAAACCAGTTGTAACACATCTTTACATAGTTAAAATAATACACCGCAACAATAGACACTTGCAGTCACTTTTTTCTTTCTCCAGGGGATTGGAACAAGCATGCTAGATAAAGCACTTTGCTGCTGAGATGTATACTTAGTCCGGTTTACCTTTTTTTTTTTTTTTTTTTTTTTTTTGATAGTGTCTCACTACATTGCTCAAGCTGGCCTTGAACTTGCTTTGTAGGCCAAGCAGGTCTTAAACTTGCCATCTTCCTGCTCAGTAGCTACTCTCTAGGAGCTGCGTGCAGGCCTGTGCTGCCGTGCCCACTTTCTTAACTTCCTGACTTCTTTAGGAAGCTGAGAGTAGCATCCTTAGCCATGGGTATATTGGGAGGTCGACAGTGGCATTACCTGTGGATTCTTACATCATACTTTGTCTTGACTGTAAGAGATGTCCCACTCCCCAGTTCTAAGACACAAGCACTCAGACCTGGCCTTTGTCCCTACCGTTGTTAGACTTTGAAGACCTGGTCCACTCACCTCCAGCAATTTGCTCTGATTCCTGGGAACACATCCTGGCCAGTGTGATATAAACACCTAACGCCTGAGGGAGGTGTGGAGGGGGGGTGTCTGGTGTCCTCCTTTCTGTACTCTCTGAGGAACTCACACTGGCAGAGCTCAGATTGCTGGCAGGGGATGGGGCTCTGACTGGAAATAGATCACACAGCTGCCTCGCCGCACGCTTCTCCAAAGGAAAGAGCTTTTCCAGGACAGACTTAAACACCTGTGAGATGCAGCATGCCTCCCCTGACGCACGGCCTGCTACTTGCCCAGAAGTTCAGTATTTCAGATCTGCCAGCCCAAGAGCTTTGAGACATTCTGATTGGGAGGAAAATCTTCAGGGTTCAACACAGGAGCCCCACTGGCTGAGAGAGAGGGCCTGCCCTTTACCTCGGTGTTTCAGGGTTTCTGTCTGCAGCATGTGAATGGTAGCAAGGTAGAGGAAGGGTGTAGAGGAAGGGTATCTGCTGGACCCTGCAGGGCTGTTTACTGTCTGAGCTCCAGTAGCTACTCAGTACTGGACAGTGAGACTTCATCCATATGCTCCCAAGGGAAAGTGCCTGGATTAGGAAAGCCTGGCGAATGCCTGCCAATGTCTGTGCACTCCGGTGCTCGCTGCGTGAGAAGACCGTCTCTCACCGACACCACCTGTGCCGAAGGGCTTCCTCTGTGGGCAAACAGGAAGCAGCTCACCTCTCCAGAGCTGGAGGGCTCTGGCCATGCTGCATGTCGTGGGCTGTGTGGGGCCCTGCAGAGTGTGTGCTCACATCAGGACGCTTTTGGGTTCTCGGGAGGGCATGGTGGACTGGGGAGAAACTCAGCGAATGGAAGGACGAGGATGCTCTGCCAATCATTACTTGGGACTCTGGGACGGGGCGGGGCATAATGTCCCTGAAGCTGGAGACCCTCGAGGGATCTTCCACCCAGAGATTTGCTTCTTATAGTAGCCGGAGATGAAAGTTACAAGAGGCGCCTGCAGGCTGAGGACTCCAGCAGTCACAGAAGGCCTCATACCCGTCCTGTCTGGAAGGTGAGGGAGAGGCAGATTTCTTTCTTGTTTCGAAGGGAGCAGAAAAGAGCCATCTGTTAAAGGGAGGGGCAGGTACTCCACCATCAAGTGAATGCAGTTCATGGTCACAGGAGGCTGTTGACCCCTAAATGAGCAGAACCAGGAAGGAAGGAAGGAAGGAAGGAAGAAGGGAGGGAGGGAGGGAGGGAGGGAGGGAAAGAGGAAAGGAAGAAGGAAGCGGACTACCCTGCAGCGTCAAACAGCGTCAGGGAGCAGAGTGGACTGTGGACCACTAGGGAGGCAGAGGCTCCACTCAACAAGACAAGCTTGCTCACCTCCTTGTCTCTTAACACACCATGACCATCGTCTCCCTGGGTTACTCATCTATTTGCTCTCAGTGGTCATGTTCGATGAAGGCTCACTGACCTTCCTTTTTAATCCTCCTTGGCTTTCCAGTAGCCTCCAGTCCAGCTGATCGCCTCCTCCTTCAGAAGCAATCTCTCTCTCACTATTCTCTTTCTCTCACCTTCTTGATAGCCCCTCATCAGACTTCCTTTACAGGCCCCTCCCCTCCCATCCTGATGGGCCCCACCACCCCAGGCTCACATACCTCTCTGGGGCCACAGTAGCCCTGAAGCTCGAAGCATGGTGTTCAGTTGCCTGCCTGAATTTCACAGATATCTAAATCCACGTTTAAAAAGTTGAACTCTTTTGCTTGTTTGAGACAGGGATTCTCTGTGTAGCCCTAGCTGTCCTGGAACTTGCTCTGTAGACCACCAACCAGGCTGACTTCAAACTCACAGAGATCCGCCTGCCTCTATCTCTCAAGTTCTGGGTTTAAAGGAATGCCACCGCCCGGCAAAAAGTTGAACTCTTGATCGCCTCCCCAAAGCTTCATCTCCTGGTGCTTTCCCACTTCAGCAAGCCCTGTGCAGTCTCTCCAACCAGAAGTCTGGAAGTGACCCTTGACTTCCCTCCCATCTGCTTAAGCAGACTTCTCAGTGGTCCCCAGTTTCTAAGTCCCCAGTCACACACCCTCCTCTCTCTGCCACCATTGCTCTCATCCCAAACAGTGCCCTCCCTTACCTGGACACCACCCCCAACCCAGAAGCTGCTTGCCTGGGGGTTTGCTCTTAGGGAGCCCCTGCCCCTTGTTCTTCATTCAGTGAACAAATGGTTTTAGAAACAAATGCAGAAACCTTCCTTTGGCTCTCAACTACCAACTCCAAACGCACCTTGGTCTACAGTTGAGGACCCAGTGAACTCCAGCGGGCCCCGCCTCTCCTGTCTGAGGACTTCCTCCAGTGCCGGGGCTACTGACTGTCACCCAGACATTAGACTTCCCATCGTGGGTAATGAATTGAACCTGCAGCCTACACCGCTCTTCCATGTTGGGCCCTCTCCACGTGGTTACAAATAATACATCTCTGCCTAGGCTTCCCCTGACCTCCACGGCAGTGAGCTCACCCTGCCAACCTCCCTGGTTTCCCTCCACCTCTTCCTGCCCACACTCTAGACATTCGGTGAGCAGGGGCTGGTACCTAGTGCACTCACTTCTTTTTCTGTCTCTAGACTGGACGCTCCCTGGGAACAAGCAGCGTGTTTTACGACTGGCTGGTCAGCAGCTTCTAGTGTGAGGACGGGAAGGGAACACGGAAGGCACTGGCTAGAGGGCCGCACACCAGAGGGCAGGGCTAGTGCCTGGGGAGAGGTTTTGCCTCTGGGTGATAGATTTAGGTTTCAGGTTTACCGGGCTGTGTTGCAAAAATCAATCCCAAACGCAGGAGGTGTTGCGGCTTGGATAAGGGAGTGGACCAGGCTATGCTGAACTGGAGGTGTTTGTGAGGTTAAACTGTGCATAACACTTACCGTCTTAGAAAGTGGTTGGTTTCGGCCTGCCAGGACCATTAGCGTTTCATCTAACGCATCAAATGCGTACAAGTTCTGGGAGGCTGGCAAACTGTCAGATTAGTTGTGGCTTGCCTTCCTATTTTACTTATTATCAGCCTGCAGGTCCAGGTCTGAAGCAGAATCCTCAGTTTCTCCTCAGTGTGGTTCCTGGAGCAGAACCTAGTCCTGTCTTGGCCCCTGCCTGGCCCCACCTCTCTTGCTCTTCCTCACGCTGACCCTGTAGCACAAGCTCCGGGTGAGTGGGGGTGGGGCATGGGTGGCTGGAGCCCAGTCTAAGCCTATCCACTACCCCACCCTCTGCTATCAGCCCTCTAGCCTCCCCCTAAACCTAGTCTCAGGCTGTGCCCGGAGCTGCATTGTGCCTGGTGATGGTGGGGGGGAACAACACAGGCTCAGAGCTGAGAATTCTAAGACTCTCCACACCCAGAGGAGTATATGGGTCCAGGCAGAAACATCGCTGGATTCCGTCCCTCTACTAGAGGAGGACAGCTGGAGGAAGGCGTGAGCCAGAGACAGGCCCTCTCAATGTAGGCCACCTGCACAAGGCCCGTAACTGAGGCCTTGGACAGCACCACTGTTGTGGGCAGGTCAGTAAAGAGGACCCGGGCAAGGTAGGTGGGTTTGCTCAGGAGCTGGAGCTGTGGCTAGGGTAGAGTCTGGCGGAGCTGTGACTAAAGATATGGATTGTTTACATTGACTACGGTTCCCACTGGCCTCTGTATCACACGCGGAAACCCTGTAGCCTGGCCCAGGGACTTGTGTCTGGGACTCAGCTCTTGGGAATGGGCAGTGACTAGCTGCTCGTGTGCTCCGAAGGCCTCGTTTGATTCCCAGCTTTGCAACTTCCCATTTGTGCAAGCTGAAGCGCAGCTGCCTCTGTGCAAAGATTGGAGCCGTCATGCTTGTGAGGTCAGAGTGAGAAGCGGTTAAGGAGCTTTTCCGTGGGGGGAAGGAGGGCTTTGGTAACATAACATAATTTATCAGGTATCATCATCAGTGGTGGCACAGGACGTAACCATATAAAAACTGAAATGTCATATGTGAAAAACAAAATGCTTGACCTGAGACCCTTCTGTCTTCCATTGGTAACCTTCCTGGAGACCAAGCTAAGGCAGACACAGAACCTGGGGCAAAACCACAGGGAGGAAGGAGGAGGGGCCTGTTCACAGCCCGGGCCTCATCTTCCCCTTTCTCCCTGGCCCTGGCCTTGTGTGGAGGAGGCCAATCAGTGGCAGGTTCTGGGATTGTGTTCCAGGGTAGCAGCTTCCAAGGAGCAGGCGGCATAGACAGTTTATGGGGTGCTGGGAGATGCTGAAGCCGGAAGTGGAGGCCCTTGTCTTGTGGGCAGGAAGTGTGAGGTACTGCGCTGTTCTGAGGGCTGGGGAGCCCTGGGGAGCGGGAGGGGTATGTGAGGGGAACGGAAGTCGGAAGTGTCAGTCACCACATTCGCAGGCGGACAACTGTGCAACAGAAAGTGTTCCCGGAGCAGGGGAGTCCAGGAGAGTCCGTAAAGGTGAGCTAGGTGGGCTTACCGGGGGTGGAGCTGGGGTCGTCTGGGTTAGGGGAGCAGGAAATAGAGAGTGTTATGAGGGCCCTCATGGTTGAGGCTAGGGACAGGTGCGCTGGAGGGAGACAAGTTTCTGGGCTTGATCAGTCACCACTTGGATACCTGATAGGAGCCTGACCTCACGGGACCCTTGCCTTCCCCTGTCTTCTCCCCCCCCACGCTATCTATCCTCTGTCTAACTCTCAATCTGGCCCTTCTCTGATGTCTGTTTCTCCCTCCTTTCCCCAGGACCTCTGGAAGCTTGTAAGGTGAAGAGGCAAGGCTACCTGCCTTAAGTCTTCCTGCCTCCAGTGGTTGAGGTCCCAGCTGGCCTTGACTGTAGACCTTAGAAGGCTGGGGTCTAAGGAGCGTGAGGGAGCGGTTCTGGGTGTGGCCACTGTACAAATGGAGTCTGGGCTTTGGCCCTTAAGGTGCTCCCAGCTCCGCCCTATACTCCAGCCCCACCCAAAGAGGCTGGAGTTAGAAGGAGGAGCCCCCCTCCCAACTTGCTTAGGACTATTCTCCTGATGTTTAAGAGGGACCGTGTCACTCCCCAAAATGTCCCTCTGTGAGACACTGTAGGCCCATTAGGGCCCCTTGGAACTGGTCCCCAGCTCCTGCTTCCATATTTCAGGGCCTGAAATTCCATAGTTAAAGTCATTTTTCTACTAAAAGGCTGAGACTGTTGTCCCATCAGGACCAGGACTATTGAAAGAATGGGCTCCAAGCAGGTGCGTCCCCAGCCCTCTGGGACTATGGAGCATCATGGTACTTCCTCCTGCCATGAATAGGAACCACTAGTAGAGAGCATAACCCCAATCCTGGATGAGAGGCCCAAGGAAGGGGAGGTCTGACTTGACCTCCTAGGGGGTCCTTCACCTTCTGAGGCCACAGCTGCTCCTGTGCTTCGGTTTAGGTCAACTTCCCACCCAGCATCCCTTGCTCTCGTTGTGAACATGAGCTGGTTTTACCATGTGTTATAAGGGCCCCCTTACCCCCCACATTTGCATGATGGCACCCTTGGGAGCAAGATGTGGGACCTCCCCTAACCATTTCTCACAGTGGCTCTGGGCCCAGGTTCAGGTAGAGGAACCAGTCTTGTCCCTCCATTCAAGGAACCTCCATTTGCGGTGGGTGTCCTCTGATTTGGAGGTTGTGGATGTCCTTCCCCCCAGGGACACCGCCATTGCCTGAGCTACACACCAACATGACAGCTCACCTCCCATGACTCTGAAAGTGTCAGGGCTGTTATGGGGTAAAGGGAAGGAAGCAGGCTGACTTACTAAGTTTGTTAGCTTAAATTGTAGTGTGTGTATGTGTGTGTGTGCATGCGTGCACATGTGTGCACACACATACTTGTGCACATGTATGTGTGTGTGGAGGGTTGTATCATACTCCAGACAGAGAGGGCTGAGAGCTATCTCCTCCAGCAGGCCAAGAGCTGACAATATATGGATCTAGATGAACCTGACGAGGTGTGTGTGCGTGTGTGCTTACGTGCATGCATGCGTGTGTGTGTTTCGCTTACTTTTGCTTCTCTAGGTGAATGGCAGCACAACAGAGTTGGGCTGCAGAGACATGACGATTCCTTGATCATCTTCTGAGGCCCAGGCCTAGCATCAGCGCTCAGGCTAGTCCCATTGCATGGCAAACCTGCTGGGTGGCCTTCCAGTCCAGTTTCCTTATTCTTCAGATAAGGGGCCAGGTGAAGTTTCCCTGTCGCAGGGTCAGGCTGTTGTAGATTTGGGATGTGATTATAGTCTGTGGGCCTCTTCATCAGGCTCTCCACTGTCATCCTGATCCAGGTCGTCACCCTTCCTCCTCAGGAATGGCTGTCTCCTTACGCGGTCTCTCATTCTTTTTGTTGTTTGTTTTTTCAAAATAGCATTTCTTTACATAGCCCTGGCTGTCCTGGAGCTAGCTCTGTAGGCCAGGCTAGCCTCAAACTCACAGAGCTCTGCCTGCTTCTGCCTCCCAACTGCTGGGATTAAGGGCAGATGCTGCCACCACCCCCCTACTTCCCTATGCACACCTGGAAGTCTAGCATTCATGAGGCAGGGGTGTTAGTACCACCCAGGAGTTTAAAGCCAACCAGAAGTGGTACATAAGGAGACCTTGTTGTGACAAAACCGAAAGAGAAAGGGAAAAAAATCCTTGAAGCTCTAGGGTAGAGTAAGAGGGACTGACCTCCTGGTCCCCTGGGTGTCACTTGCCTCCCACCGACTCTAGGTACAGCTTAGCCCCTGCAATATCCATCCTGAAAAATACCCTCCTAGTGAAAATCCCTTGAAATACAGAGCTCAGGACTGAGGCAGAAGGTACACAATGCAGCAGCGCAGCTCCCTTGCCTACCTCACTGCCTGGTCGCTCCTCACAGTAGCTTCTGGAACTCAAAGCCTTTTCCTGACCTCGCAGGGCCATTCTGTACCTCTCAGAATGTGTCCTTGAGCTTCTGGAGGAATCCCAGCACTCCAGAAAATGAAGGGCCACTTTATTTATTCAGAATCAACAGAACCCAATTTAGGAGGCATAGTCTTTTATTGCTGAATCTTTGCCTGCTGAAATGAGAGATTTTGAAAGAGATTTTAGTGGTCTGGCCAAAGAGTTTAGTCAGCAAAGGAGCTTGCCACCAAGCCAAGGACCAGAGTATGATCACTGGAATCCATATGGAGAAGGACAGAACTGATTCCTCCAAGCTGCCCTTACACGCAAATACAAAACAAACTAATACATGTAAGAAAGAGGGCGGTATGGGGGGAGATTTCACTGAACTCGGGAGGTGGGGAAAAAATCAAGAAAATTCTAGAAGCATGCCTAAGACATGCATGTACTCTGCTCTCTTGTTTCTCATGGCGGAGGAGGGAGGGCACTGGTCTCAGTTTTCACCCAGATGACCACTAGGGACATCAGAAGGACTACACCCTTCCAGTCATTCGACTCATCCATACTGAAAAGCTAAAGAAAAAAAGAAGCTCACTGACTTGTGGGTAGGAAGCAAGTGTGGCTTAGGAGAACCTTACACCTGGGTCCGGACCCCAGCTCCCTCACTGGTTTGCTGAGCCACCTAGAAAGCTCTGTGGACCTCCCCAAGTCTTAGCTTCCTTGCTAGAGAGAACTGGGTGTTTGGGTTTGCCTTATTCATGGGAAGCCTGGTGAGAGAGAGCTCATGGATGGATGTACAGATGGATAAGTAGGTCCCTTTGGAGGGGCGAGATAACATTGACCGCACCTTCTCCCATGGCGTTCGGGTGCCAGATAAAACACAGAATACTCATGTTAAATGTGAATGTCTGATAATTTAGTCGGGTGTTTCAAGCATGTCACAGATAATGGGAGTGCTGGAATTTTGTTTTGTTTTGTTTTTCATTCTTTTAAAAAACATTATTGGGTATGAACTCAGGGCTTTGTACATGACAAATGCTCATCTCTTGCCCACATCCCTTAAGTGTTTATCTGCCTAATTTAGCAACCTCACCATGAAGATATATGTCACCCACATGGCCTGGCCTCCTGGAACTGAGGCCTGCTTTTAGGCTCTAGAACCCCGGGATCATATAAAGAGACCTGAACACCTCAAGTCAAAACCAGTCTTGAATTTTTGACCCACCTGAACTAAAAGATAATGACATGATTCCAAGAAATTTGTGGGTGGGTCTGGGGAGAACATGATCCACCACCCCAGTAATGAGACTCCCCAGTGGTCAGAAAGCCCAAGAGAATCTGCCTGTTCCAAGCTTACTTCCAGGAAACAAGAGCCCTCTGTATAAACCCTGGGAGTTGAAATAGAGCAATGTGGAATGCAGTCGGGTTGACTTTAATTGCTTTGAAAGAATCATGGCCCAGTCAGACCACATAACAACCAGTCGCCTTTAGGTTTCCTTAACTCACCTCTCTTCCCCTTTACCTCAGTTTCCCTTGACCTTCTAGGCCTTTCTCTCCCTAAGTCTTTCAGATACCAAATCTCAGAAATTTGCTCTCTCCTCTTTGGTCTATAGAAAACTGTATTTTCTCTCATCCTTTCCCTCCTCCCCCATCTTTGAAAATTGCCAGGGAGGAACACTGGATTTCTTCCAGGAAGGCAAACCCAAATAAAACCCAAAACTCAATGATGTCCATGGTAGCCATGAACATATTCCATTATTGCTGCTTTATACACATGTATATATGTATGCATGTATGTATGTATGTATGTATGTATGTGTAAGTACCTATTTGCAAAGAGACACACGAGATTTCCTCTACGTTTTGGTGCCCCTCTTCCCATTCCCAAGATCACAGGTGCAACATGTCCCGTCAAGTGAATTCTGTAGTGAGCGTAAGTGCATCACCCTGGCTACTTGCCCAGATGCCTCCAATGGCCCCTCCCTCTAGGGGAAGTCTTGTAAAGTTTCTAGTGCCACCCACTATTGCCAAGCTGAAGACAGACTGTAATGAATGAACCTCTGGGGGTCCAAACTACAGCAGGTTCTAAGGTATATGTATCTCTTCCTTAACAGAATGGGACTGTCTGAGGCCTCCGACACAGAGAGAGATCAGGGCAGAAATGAGCAGTTGCATTGGGGAACAAGGCAGCCCATCTAAGGCTGTCAGTCCTCAGCCTGCAGCCCAGGGTTGGAGGCGTGATAAGAATGGAAGCAAGGGTGTGGAGTAGAGGCCAACCCATCTGGAGAAGACTGACGGACACGACCAAGTTCAATACACTTGATTCAGAGCAGAGGTTAAGTACAGACGGTAGTCCTGATTTTTTTGGAAATCTATCTGGGAGAGACTGACTTATCAGTAAATCATAGAGTGTAGCTGTACCAAAGAGTTCCACAATAGCCCGGAACGAAGTATAACAAAGGTTTATTTATTTGAGGATAAACTCACAGTAAGGGTAGCGATCCGCAGTCCTCTACATGCGCTGGAAACTGGAGCTGAATCCAGCAGAAGAAAGGGCATGCATGCTTTTCATCTGCTCCTATAGTACAAGGCCATACCCAAGGCGGGCCAGTATCTTAAAGACTATTGGCTGAAAGAGTTCCCACAGCAATAGAGGGACTTGAAGCCTGCTCAGAGGCCCTTCCCAGGGTGTTAAAATCCCAGAACTTTATTATCATTGAGCAATTCCAGGTTTATATTATAATAAAGTGAGAAACAGAACATGGTGTCAGGACAGAGGGAACAGGAACAGGGAAACCCAGATACAGACACTATTTTTAGGGTCTTTTAGAAAGATGCCTTGAAGGTAGAGACTGGCATCCATATTAGTCCCACCCCATTTCTCTCTAGTGTTCTCGTGCAAAGCCACACCTTTTAGGAAATCTTTGTTTGTTTGTTTGTTTTGTTTTGGGGACAGGATTTCTCTGTGTAGCTTTGAAGTTCAATTTGTAGACCAGGCTGGCCTTGAACTTAACAGAGATCTTCCAGCCTCTTCCTCTCTAGTGCTGGGATTATAGGTGTGCACCACGACCCCCTGGCTATTTTCCCTGTATTCTTAAAGAGTAGGTAGATACCATCAACCATCCAACCTTAGTGTGTAAGCTCTGAGAATTATCATCTGTTGAATGTCTAAGAGTACGCCAAGCCTGGGTTGACAGTGATGGTGGTTTCCCTGTGAGGTGGGACTCTCTATAAGTGAGCCTTCCTTAAGTGACCCTCAGTCACAGGGCTGACCTTCTAAATCAATCCACCCACTCTCAGTAGCAAGGAAGCGTAGCTCCAGGACCTGTGGTCCTTCATTCACCCCCACACTTTCTGCGGCTTGGTGTGGAGGAACTGAACTGGGCACTACACACCAGGTAAGACCTCCCCCACCCTCTTTACCACCTGCCTGAGCTAGGAACACAGTGTGAGGTTTGAAGCCTGGAAAGACTCCAAGGAGGTGGTGTTAGCAGACGCCAGCCCGGCCACAACCCCCAGTGACACAAGGAGAGAGGTTCCTTCAGCAGAGAGGGGACTGAGGAAACCATGGGGTGAAGGGTAACGGGGTGTGAAGTCAGAACTGGGATTCCCATTCCATCTGTAGGTTGTTAAGCCAGGTTCTGGCTGTGGCGTCCTTGTTTGTGTGATGGGCAGGCAGCGGGTGTGTCTTCCAGGTGTCAGGTTACGAGGATGGCTGGCGGTGAGCATGGGCACAGCTAACTGGGCACGTAGAAGGGGCTGTCACTCCTGGCTGTATGGGAGGCAGCCATGGCTGGAGATTGGGAACGCATCTCACGTGTTCCCTTCATTTTCTGTTCCCCCACGTGCACCAGTACAATTTTCAGGCACACCTACAGTCTTTTGAGATAGAATTATGTTTGAAGAAAGTAAGACAGAAGGAATTATGTTTGAAGAAAGTAAGACAGAAGGAATTATGTTTGAAGAAAGTAAGACAGAAGAAATTATGTGTTTGAAGAAAGTAAGACAGAAGGAAATTAAAGAAAAATTTGATGGAGCCAGGGTGTGTTTAACGCTTGGAAACACATGCCACACATTTGTGTACTTAGATCTGCACTTCCTGGGGACAACACAAGAGGGAAGCAGGTCCCAAATTATGAGTTTCAGCGTCCAGTGGATGAAAGCAAGCCTGTCACTAAGAGGGATCGGGGCCAGGGGCCACTCTGGAAGCCGTGTAACCGTGCATCTCACACTGGTGGAGACGGTGGAGTCTCCTTCTCAGCGACATTCCTTATGTTCCTTTGGTGACCTGCTGAGGGGCCCACCTCAACGGCGAGAGGGAGTGATGCGCCAGAAAGCTCGCTTCTCGTTGAAGCCTAAGGCACACAATGGCCACTGCTTTCAGGGCTCACCCTCTTTGGAAGTCGAGACTCTCCCCTTTAGGAAACAAGCGCTGTGCTCTTGGGTGGGTGCGGAGGGGCTGAAGCTTCTCCTTCATGGGGCTGAGTGAGTGAGGAACCCCTTAGCTGCTTCTGCCTTAAGTTGCACATAGCACATTAGGAAGCCGCCAAGGAGCTGGCCTTGTCAATGGTGCAGGCCCCCAAACAGAACCCGTACTCTGAGAAGATAGGCAGGCGTGGCTTTGCTGGCTTGGGGCCGGCTGCTCCTTGCCGCTTGCTGTAGCCTATGTCTGACTCATGCTCACTCTGGCTTCCAAGTCTTTTGCTTTCTTCTGCTTTCTTGGTGCCCTGAGGTGTTCTAGCTGTTTCTGCCCCACCTACCCATGTCTGCCTGCCTTCTCTGATCCAGCTCCCAAGAGAAAGACCTGAACTGACCTTGCATTCTTTTCATGCTGAGCCACACGGGGACCCCTTCAACCAAGAGATGGGTGTCTTTAGAATAAGTGCCATTCTGGTGCCAGTTTGAACTTGTGAGGTCACAAGGCATGTCTGGTACCCCCTTTCCCATGGAAGGGTGGAGAGGGCAGTATCCCTTAGCAGATGCCCCGGGCATGGGTTCTGGACATGTCTAGCACTTTGGACACAGGACTTGAGTGGACTGTGGTCCTCCTCTAATCTATGCTCCCTTTGGGCGTTTACAGGCTAGATATGAATTTCCAGTTCCCACCATGGCTTGTGCACCTACTAATTCATGAAATGGGATTGTGAAAACGGACACTACCAAGGGCTTCATCTCAGCTTTGGCTCTCTGGATGATGGGTGACAATAGACCCTCAGACCACCCCAGGCCCAGGGAATTTCTCAACATCCGCCTGGAAGACAACCTACAGCCCTACCCAGGGGCATGTCCAGATGAAATACGTGGCCATCCAGGCCCTTCCGAACCTTGCCAGGAACAGTCCTGGCCCTTTGACCCCCCAGAATCCACCAGGCGTGATGCTCATCTCGGTAGCTCTGTTGCGGATCCCGCTCGCCTGGGATCCCCCTCTTTCCAGGGGGAGAACAGGCAGATGCCAGCATCGCTGCAGCCGACGGGGGACAGCTGCTCTTTGGAGAGCCCACAGCAGAACCAGAGCTCGTCCGCACAGGTGGTGTTCTGGGCTGGCATCCTGCAGGCCCAGATGTGTGTCCTGGACTTGGAGGAGGAGCTGGAGAAAACAGAGGGACTCAGAGCGGAACTGAGGTGCTGCATCCCCCCACCTTCTAAGGACTTCCTTGGTGATGTGGGCCTGAGCCCCAGCCTGCCCAAGGAGGATGAAGAGTCTGGAGATGATGGCGGTGAACCTGAGGAGGAGAACCAGGCCTGGCCGAGGGGGCAGATGCCAGGCTCCTCCCCAGAGTGGGGTGCTGAGGAGGACAGCATCTTCTTTGACAATCCCCTCTTCCTGGAGAGCCCTGAGTCAGACACCAGCACTGAAGGAGAATGCTTTTCCTGGGGGTACCCAGATTCCCACCCAGAGATGAAGTCTCATAGCCCTCAGGCCCCGGATTCTTCGCTCCAAGAAGGCACAGGGCTCTGGAGGCCAGAAAGTGAGCTGGATTTGGGGAGCAATACTGCTGATCATAGTGGGTGTGCCACCCCTCCATTCCCTGTGCCTTCCTATAAGCTGCACCCCTGCTTGGCCTTCGGGTCCACTGAAGGGGTTCCCACAGTACCTCCTAATCAGGAGGGTGAGGTAAGTTAGCTGAGGAAGCCAGCTGAGGGCTGTGCTGGGGACATGGCAAGGAGGGTCTTCCTCAAGGGGCACAGGCCCAGGACACTGTTCAGAAGGTAGAGTTTGGGGAGCTCTAAGGTGAGCGAACATTCAAACTGACTTATGTGGACACAGTTGGGGAGATGGCTCAGTGGTAAAGTTCACGGACCTGAGAATCCATGTAAAACCTGGGTGTGGCAATGCACACCTATACCTATAACCCAGCACTGAAGGAAAGAGTGTGGAAGCAGGGGATCCCAGGATCTCAAAGGCCAGCTGGTCTAGCCAAAATGGCAAGCCCCGGGTTTAAAAAGAGATACTCTGTCTAAAAATAAGGTGGAATGCAACAGAAGAGGACACTAACATCAACCTCTTCTACATGTTGGGCATGCTCACCTGAAAGCATCACTCAGAGAGAGAGAGAGACATACACAGAGCACATAGAAATATGTCCCTCTGTACAACACAGATACACAGACATAGACACAGACACACATACATCCTCTCACACACAAAGTTCAACTCATGTAGACTTCAGAATAATGACAGATTTTATCAGAACAATAATGTCATTTGGAACACATGACATTAGTTATGTGTTATGACATTAGTTAAGGCTATTAACTCCTTGAGTCTCCATGTTACCAGCTTCAAGGAGCTAAGACTAAGATGACTGGCTTAGAGAACAGGCACCACCTCCCTTCATGGTGTTCCGAGGCTTTCTGGGATCCTCCCTCCTACCTCCCAGGCATCTCCAGCTGTCACAGAACTGCCTAAGAAGACCTTTGTCCCCAAACAGAGAGCTGTCTATGTCAGGAGACTTGTCCTCTCTTTTGAGAGATTTTCTTGTTACTTTTAGCTCAGAAGCCTTCATCTTCCTGTTGGGCAGGGTCAGTAGATCAGGCCCTCGTGACAATGGCGTAGGAGCCTTGATATCAATCAGGGTTTGTCACAGCTATAGGAGGCCAGCAGGGAACAGTTTTCCCAGAATTCTCTGCTTTATAGATAAGGGGAATTTAAGATGACAGAGAAGGCTATAACCTTCTAATCTCTCCACTCCCAAAGAAGGGTGGTGATCAGAGGCCTGCAGTCTTTTGGCGATGCCTTGTCCCAGGACCTAGGACAAGACTCTAGGTCCTTAGAGGGAGGCCTGGGAACCCCGCCTGGGTGGGGCTGGCCATCATACTTCCTGTAACACATCTCATCTGGGGTGGGAGCAGCCATACGTGGAGCCATCTAGACAACCTATGAGGAAGAAAGGTCTTGGAATGGGGAAGGGCCTGGAACAGTTTTGTGGGCAAATCGAATGTTCCTTCTTTCAGACTTCTCTGGAAGATGGTCTTAGCCCTGGCTCACCTAAGGCACCCTCCGTGAACCACAGATTGATCCAGGAATCAGATAACTTTGGATTTGACCCTAGACCTGCCACCACCACACATCCTACGCAGCCTTGGGCAAGTCTCTTCCCCTGTATGCCTTACCTTCTCCGTCTGTGACGAACCCTCGCTGCACTGCTTTCCAGGGCTCCTATGGCGTGATGCCTCTCCCATCCACAGTTCCTCTTCTGAACTGAGAACCCAGACAGTTGTCCATGGGCTTTGGGAGAAGGGAGGGGCTTCCATACAGTCTTGACATCGTTTATTCCAGCTCTTCCCATCCTTCTCTATTCATCTCCCTTGACTCCAGGGATCACAGACACCCCAGAGCCTCTCAGATCTGGCTCCGCCCATATTTAAGGACCAGCAGGCAGAAGATCCTTCCTGGCCCCAGGAACCTCTTATCTCCCAGAATGGAGGTGAGATCCAGTGTGGGGCTCTGGGAAATTGAGAGGTGGGGGTGCTTTGGAATTCAGAGCGGAGACAAAGTCCTTGTTGGATTCATTGCACCGTGTTGGAGCCAGACATACCTAAGATTAACTCTTCTGTGCCTTCATAAATAAAATGAGCTTTCCGATACTGATAGAATGAAGGGCTATACTTGTCTGGGTCTTACTGGCTCAGCAGAAGTCCTGAATCTTGAGGTATCTCGGGGCTGGAGTCCTGAGAGCTGCCACCAGATAGACAGGGAGAGATCACTGTCTGCAGTAAAATGGGACATCCTGCCCAGTTCCAAGGAAGTACCCAAGGGAAGGAGGTCTGGAGGCAGCGGCCAGCTGTTCTCCTGCCTCCAGCCCTGAGCATGCTCATTCCTGCCGTTCCTCAGGTGAGAAGGATGCTGGCTGCTTCCAGGAGCCCATTCCCTGCACTTTGGCCAATTGGGGGAGCCCAGCCTCTTCACTGGAGCCCAGCTACCCAGAATCCGAGGGCAGAGGCTCTGTCCCCAGGCCCTGCACCGTGTCTTCCCCGGAAGGCAGTCCACAAGTCCAGCTCCATAGCTCCAAGTGGCCACAGGATGCCTCACACTCTTTGATCCTGGAGGAGGATGAATCCGAGTTAAGTTCCCTGAAGATAGAGGAGACAGAGGAGACCCCAAACCTAAGGCAGGAGGCAGAGTGTGAAGATCCAGCCAAGACTGAGGAAGCTTCAGCTGCCTGGCAACATGTTCGCTTGACTTCTACAGAAGGGTGAGTCTCAGGCTATCTGACTCCGGGGCTCTTCCTTGTCTTGTGATAAGAATGCCTTGGTTTGAATGGAGCATGAGAAACGCACTTTGAATTGAATGTGTTAATGCTTACTTCAGTCTATGGAGTATATTGGATCGCATGAGAACACTTTCAGAAGACTGGAATGTTTAAAAGCAGAGAGTTACAGAGAGTCAAGACTTAAACATACAGACGCGGAATCATTAGTGTCCCCAGCCAGACACCAGGAAAGGATGAAGGGAGGAAGTCTGGGGACCCTGACTGAAGCCCTGTAAAGGCTTGTTGGATTGTAGGTACGAGCTAGTGAGTAGGAATTAAAGGCTGTTTGTGAACTTGAGCTCCTAGTGCTGTGAAGAAACACCATGACCAAAGAAATCTGGGGAGGGGGGCTGGAGAGATGGCTCAAAGGTTAAGAGCACTGACTGCTCTTCCAGAGGTCCTGAGTTCAATTCCCCGCAACCACATGGTGGCTCACAACCATCTATAGTGAAATCTGGTGCCCTCTTCTGGCGTATGGGCATACATGGAAGGAATGTTGTATACATAATAAATAAATCTTCAAAAAAAAAAAGAAAGAAAGAAAAAGAAAAATCTGAGGAGGAAGGGGTTTATTCGGCTTACGCTTCCACAGTACTGTTCATCACGAAGGAAGTCAGGACAGGAACCCAAACAGGGCAGGATCCTGGAGGCAGGAGCTGATACCAAGGCGGGGAGCTGCTTACTGGCTTGCTTCTGTGGCTTTGTTCAGCCTGCTTTCTTACAGAACCCAGGACCACCAGCCCAGGGATGGCACCACCCACCATGGTGGTGGGCCCTCCCCATCAATCACTGAATTAAGAAAATGCCTTGTACCTGATCTTACAGAGGCATTTTCTCAGCTGAGGCTCCCTCCTTTCAGATGACTCTAGTTTGGGTCAAGTTGATATAAAACTAGTCAGGACACTACCTCAACACACCACTGAGATCCTTAAAAGACCTACCACTCGAAATGAGATAAGCTTGAGACATCTTTGTGGCTTAACCTGGCTTGGCTCTAAACCCCTGGGTCTTTTTTTACTACCTCTTCTCTAAGATCTCTTTGTCCAGCCCAGCCCAGCCAAACTTTGACCCAGTCTCTTCATGCTGGGGACCTGGGTTCAACTTCTCCAGAACCCACCGGTTAAGGCCCAGGCATCATAGTTCTAACCCTGAGCTCTGGCCACTTCTTCCTATGTCCTCGCACAAGTGTGAGTCTGAGGACACCAATGGATTTTTCTAGGCTTCCCGAGAGTCCCATGCCCCAAGCTCAATCTCCAGAGAAAGGCTGGAGGCCATCGTCGGGAGTCAAATTGGCTAATAACATCAGAAATGACAAGGAGGCCTGGGACCTAGCCTTGCGTCTCTATCACCTGGATGGTTTCCGGAAGTCTGAAGTGGCTGCCCACCTACGCAAGAAGTAAGGAGCTTTTGAGACACAAGGGTAAGGCAGTAACAGGAGGGAGCTACCCATAGGCTTCCTCCACTGACCATCTCTCTCTTCCCCTTCCCTGATCAATATCCCCTTTGTTTCCCCCCAGCCTTATCACTACCATCACTACCTCTCATCCCTTTATCTCCATCCTGGCTCCTCCCCACCCCCATTCTTGGCCAGCTCTGCTTCTTCTCAGTTTCACTTGAAACGCCTGACTTCTCCCCCTGCCCATCCCAGACCCCACATGGCCTATTGCAACACTGATCCAAGTAGCAGGGTCAGGCTAGCCACTGACTACTTTCTTGGGACCTGACACCTAGCCTGGTTATACCTTTCTCTCATTTAGCTCTTGCTATCCTTGGTCCCCTTTGTACCTGCAGCTCAGCCTGATCCTTGTAACATGAGGGCCTGCTTTGTTGGGGTTTCTGTCCTGCCCAGTTCCCATAGCCGGTAAGCCCCAAAGAAGTTACACAGTCTGCATTCGTGATAAACTGATTGGCCCATTAGCTCAGGCTTCTTATTAGCTCTTTTCACTTATATTAACCCATTATCCTTATCTATGTTAGCCACATGGCTCAGTACCTTTTTCAGCAGGGCAGGTCACATTCTGCTTCTTCGGTAGTCTAGGCAGAACTGGGAAGAATGGGCTTTCTCCTTCCCAGAATTCTTCTGTCTCATCGTCCCGCCTCTACTTCCTGTCTGGTTGACCCACCTATACTTTCTGCCTGGCCAATCAGCATTTATTTAAAACATGATTGAGAGAATACAGACAATTCTCCTGCACCAGATCCCCAGCACCATCTTTATTTCCATTCCCCCCTACAGCAATGACTTCAGCAGGGCTGTGGCTGAGGCGTACTTATCCTTCTTCCAGTTCGAAGGACAAAACCTGGACCGAGCCCTCCGGTAAGGCCCTCTGCCCTTTGAGGAGGCAGGACTTGGGTGTGGGGGTGGTTAGGGACAGCTGCAGGGCAGTGGTCCCAAGCTCCTGGGAGGATGTGGCTCTGCTTAATCCTGGTTTTCCTGGGCAGGGGGTTCCTCCAGGCCCTGGTGCTCAGTGGAGAGACTCAGGAACGGGAACGGATTCTCTACCAGTTTTCCAAACGCTTCCATTACTGCAATCCTGGAGCCTTCCCCTCAGTAGGTATGGAGGGTGCATCCGAGGGTGGGGCAGAAGGACTGGGGGGGGGCATCGAAACAGCCTGTGTTTGCTCGGGGTCCTTTGGGCAGCAGTTGCTGGGAGTGTGTTGGGGTTATAGAGAAATGGAGGGAGTTACCCTTAGTGTTGGCAGAAGCCACAGAAGTCTGAATTCTAATGAGCTCTGTCCTTGCTCTCTCGGGGACAGATTCTATACACACCTTGACCTGCGCCGTCATGCTCCTTAACACAGACCTGCATGGACAGGTAAGGAGCGGGAGAACACCTAGAAGGGAGCTATGGCATGGTGAGGAAGGAAAAATGGACCAGAGGCTGGGAATGTGCCCGCACAGGGCCCTGGAGTTCCCCCAGTGGCCACCTAGGGTCTATTCTCTCAGGGTAGGATGTTCAAACTCTCCCTCTTCTCCATGGCCACAGAACATTGGAAAGAGCATGAGCTGCCAGGAATTCATAAACAACCTGAACGGTCTGCAGGACGGCAGGAACTTCCCCAAGGAGCTCCTGAAGGTAAGGCTCCTTCCAAGGCCAGGACCCTCCCTGTCTTCTCTGTCTGCAGCCTGGAACTCTAGTTCCAAGAGGAAAGTAGAGCTCAGACATGGCTTGTATAAAAGGTCCTTATGAGGACAAGGTGTGTGTGTGTATGTGTGTGTGTGTCCCTGTCTGGTAGTATCAGTGGTACTGTGCTATGTGACATCCCTAGACCTACAGAACCACACTCTATGCACCTGAAAGTCTTGTTACATTCTCGGGGGGGGGGGGTCATTACCCCCTTGAAAGTTTGACAAGTGCTAGTGTATTGAATGGATTCATGAGACACGAAGTTCCACGTAAGGAAAATCCTGACCTCAGGTTTGGGAGCTCGGTGTTCTTGGTTTGAGTCCTAGTCTTGAACAGAATGCCGCTTGCTCAACTCCAGTTGCTTCTGGGAGAAATGAACATCTCGCAAGGTCAGTATCGAGATGAAATAAAAGCTGTCAAATGCCATGCACTGTGCCTGGCTCCCATGCTTCCTGAGCAGCTGGACCACTGGCTTGGTTCATTTGCTTAGTGATCAGTCACTGAACATTTCCTGTGTACCAAGCACCTAGCCAGGAACAACAGCTATAGAAGCAAGAAAGATGCATTACTTCAAAGTTCTAACCCAGCATTCATTCATCCATTTACCAAATATGCATCGTGTGAGTGCTGTTCAGCCAAGTTCCTCCTCTGTCAGGTACCCCTAGACAGGACAGTATGTGGGTGAGGGGATCATGTTCTCTCTCAAAGGACTACTTTAGAATGTACTAAGCTTGTGCAGGGAAGAGCCTTGGCTACTTTGATATCTTTATGTCTCCAGTATCCAGCACAGGGATGGATGGGTAGATGGGTGGATGAATGGATCGTGAATGTTTGCCTGCTCGGAAGAAGGCCAACTATGATGGGTAGAGGGACGAGGTAGTACATACTCCCACAGATGTCTGCCAACAAAACACATGTAGGTACCATAGACCCTCCTCTCACCTGTGTGCCTCTATTCCAGGCCCTCTACTGGTCTATCCGGAGTGAGAAGCTCGAATGGGCTGTGTAAGTGAGAGTTCCTTTCCTCTGCTTCTTGCCCTTCATCCCTGCCTCTGGTCTACTCACTGCTACCCACCTGAGAACTGGAGGTGGTCAGGGGCCTATACAGTCCTCCTTCTGAGTGGGTGATGCCAGAAACAGGGCACTGGGCCAGTTTGGGGGAGGACAGTGGAGCTTGGATAATCCTGGAGAAGCCAGAGCTGGTGAGGGGTAGGTACAGCAGTGTTTTCAGGAATTGATAGGTTGATCGGTCTTTGATGAGATTTTCCTTGAAGAGGTTCAGTGACATTCCTCCCAAGTAGAGATGGTGCTGAGTCCCCAAGAGGCAGAGGGTACCTGTCCCACCAGCATTCACACCCTGATTCTCTGCCATCCAGAGACGAAGAGGATGCAGCCAGACCCGAGAAGGACCAGCCTTCTTCCTCAGCCAGCAAGATAAGCAACCCCTTCCTCCAGATGGCTCAGGACCCCACAGTGCCCACTTATAAGCAAGGTATCCTGGCACGGAAGATGCATCATGATGCTGACGGCAAGAAGAGTGAGTGTCTGCTGCCTGGGAAGGAGGGAGTACACGGAGAGCCCTCTACATGGGGACTGTGCTCAGTGCTGTGATGCAGAGAAGAATGGGCAACCTGTGTTTCTTTCCTGAATGCTAAGCTAAACTAGGTCTGGCTAGTCCCAGGTCCCAGCACCCCTGTGGTAAGGCGAAGACTGTACAAGCATGTCCATGTCTCGGGTGAAGGTGGAAGGAGGGCTGTGTTGAGTATGGGGGCAAGGGGAGGGAGAGGCATTCTGAGGACTAGCTGCAGGGACAGGCATAGGGGAGCTTCTGGCAAATGATAGCAACTGAACTTGTAAGATAAGAGGGTTTGGATTTTTACATTGTCTGAGCACATCCCTTACACAGCAGAGAACATTGCAGAATCCACTCAGAACGGATAAAAGGAAGGAACAAAATCTGCCATACTTGACATTTGGGGCTCAACCTCAGGGCAGCTGAAAGCTCCTGAGCCGGGCAGCTGCCTGACCAGAGCAGGGATCACTGTAATAGAACCACAGATTAAACACTGCATGGTGGCTAACACAGGAAATCAGCCCTCCCTCTGGCCAAGTAGCTTAGAATAGTTTTGTTCTACCGGGTCAGGATGAGGAAATTAAGAAAAGAGAGAAAGGGGGATTGGTGCTCAAAGGGGTTCCTGGTGCTCACTATGCAGGCAAACACATCACACTTTGTAGGAAAGTGCCAGGAAGAATGATTTGTTCCTAAGTACACACCTGGGGTTTGGGCAGGGACTGGAGGTGGTCTAAGGGGGTGTGCCAGGACTCTGCACAGACTTGTATTGAGTGGATCTGGATGTAGTGCCACCACCCACCCTTCTGTCTCCTCTTGGGACAGCACCATGGGGCAAGCGAGGCTGGAAGATGTTTCACACCTTGCTGAAAGGGATGGTTCTCTACTTCCTGAAGGTAGGGAGTCACCTGTGTGGATTATTGGCTTTCCAGGGCTGGGGTGAAGAAGGCAGGGAAGAGGGTCGGAAAAGCACTTTGTAGACTGGGAATGGTCGCTTAGGACGCTAGTTACAGAAGCAGGAGGTAATGCTGATCGGAGCGTCATCATTCTGCATGCCGATCCTTACAGTGCTCTTTAGAATACAGCTAATGGGGTCAAGAGAGGTCACGAATTGGGGGGGGGCGCTGCCGATAACCTCCTCACTGAGCCCCTGTGTCTGGTGGCAGGGAGAGGGTCCCTGGCTGGATGGGCAGAGTTTGGTGGGACATCTCGTGGATGAGCCCGTGGGAGTGCACCACTCGCTAGCCAGCCCAGCCACTCACTATACCAAGAAGCCACACGTCTTCCAGCTTCGGACTGCAGACTGGCGTCTCTACCTCTTCCAGGCTCCGTGAGTCCCTAGAGTCCCTAGAGCGGGAGGAAAGTGGCCAGGCCTCCCTCAGTGCTCCTGGCCCTCAGTGGTCCCAACCCTGACTACATTAACCAGGAAACTTGAAAGTTCTGTGCTGGGGATGCAATAGAACGTGTGAGAACAGCTGACTCCTCTCCTCGTATGCTAACCGAAGATTCTAGAATGCCACCAGAGATTGTTTTTGACATTTGATATAACCTCTATTACCATCCTAGATTTTCCTCTGGCGGATAAAATTCGGTTACCCCCTAACCCCCTACTCCTCACTCCCACTAAAGTTGTGTTTCTGGTTTGGGGAGGCAACAGAGGTGTGAGGCGGGGGGGGGGGGGGGGGGGGATGCTGGTGATGGGGCGGGGGAACCCTTGGAGACACACGACTTCCTTTGCCCACAGCACTGCCAAGGAAATGGCTTCCTGGATTGCACGCATCAACCTGGCCGCCGCCACACACTCGGCACCCCCTTTTCCAGCCGCAGTGGGCTCCCAGCGTAGATTCGTGAGGCCCATCCTACCCATGAGCCCCGCCCAGAGCTCCCTGGTACTGCCTCCCCTAACTAGCCAGGGGGGCGGGGGGGGGGAGGAGGCTGTGGTCCAAGCAGAGCACTAGACATGGGACAGATTGGGAAGGTGGGGAGCACTCTGCACCCTGTGACCAGGAATGCGGGCGCGGGGGAGGCTGCACAACCTGGATCAGAAGCCCGAGAGAGGCAGGGAGCAGCAGCGAGGGGGCGGCGGAAGACGGGTCAGCCTCTCCTTCACCTTCCTCTCCCAGGAGGAGCAGCATCGATCCCACGAGAACTGCCTGGATGCTGCCTCTGACGACCTGCTGGATTTGCAGAGGAACCTGCCCGAACGGCGGGGCCGAGGCCGCGAGCTGGAGGAGTACCGCTTGCGGAAGGAGTATCTGGAGCACGAGGTGAGCAGCTTAGTGTCTGTTTAGTGGCCAGTCGGCCTGTTGGCTGGGTCCTCTGCCGCCCTCTCCTGGCTGCCTCTGTCTCGGAACCAGGAACACAGCATGCAGGGGCGGATGCGACGGGAGTGGGCTCTGTGAGCACTAAGGACCCTTTCCCCAAGAACACTTATCTTCTTTATCCTCTAAGGAGTATATTCAGCTTTTCCTAAGATGAAGGAAAAACTATATGGCCGAATTAGTCCTCCTATTACCTACCTACTGCTTTGATTGCCTACCTGGATTACCTCATTTAAGAATTCTGAGATAGGTAACAATAGTATAAGATAGTCTACCATTCTCGTTTTATAGATGTAGAAACTGAAGTATGGAGAGATTAAAAGTGCCCGGGTCTGTTCATTTACACCCTCAAGTCACATGTGTGTTTCATGCATGGTCTCTGACGGAGTTGATTCTATTAATTCTGCTCTCTTCACTGACCTCCACCCCTGTTCTGCCATGGGACCCTAATGCCAAGTACCAGCTTCAGAGGCATTAAAGACCCTTTTCAGGGTCGAGACCCACCAGAAAGGAAGGGTTGGCAAGGCACAATGTGGGAAAAGAGTGAGCCAGGCCTCGGGAGGCTGGAGACCAGGAAGGGGCACCATCAATAAGTTTCCTGCTCGTACTCACCCGGCCATTGTGTAGCCCACTCCCTCTCTAGCTTTCTAAGTCCCTACCCAGCCCTTTGTCTTATTGGTTGTTTTCATGGTGATGACTGCCCCACTTCCCAGAGGTCTTTGGGTGAGGTAAGGACCCAGCTTGTGACTATCACAACCCATCTATACATCTGACCCTGTATCTATTGACCAATTCATCCTTTATAAAGCACGTGAAAATAATTCACACCCAGCTAACCTCCCAGTGGGGTTGTGAACTGGGAATGGTATTCTAGATTTAAAGATACTAGTCCCAGAGGCCTTAAGGGTATTAGCAGATAAACCGGGCAGTGGTGGCACAACGCCTTTAATCCCAGGACTTGGGAGGCTGAGGCAGGCGGATCTCTGTGAGTTCGAGACCAGCCTAGTCTACAAGAGCTAGTTCCAGAACAGGCTCCAAAGCCACGGAGAAACCGTGTCTCGAAAAACCAAAAAAGAGAGAGAGAGAGAGAGAGAGAGAGAGAGAGAGAATTAGCAGATAGAGCTCCCTGCATCATGTTTCCAGGTGTGGTTAAACCCCAGTAGGCTCATTCCATATAGATGCTTAATAGTACAGAACTATTAGGACATCGCTCTACCCCCATAGCTGCAAACACCTGGGAGCTTCGCTTAGGAGTCGGGATTGCGCTAAGGTGATCTGGCCATGTGTTACAGAAAACTCGATACGAGACCTACCTGCAGCTCCTGGTGTCCCGCCTGCACTTTCCTCTGGGCGACCTGGCTCTGTGGGAAGATCAGCTCCGGAGGGAAGCAGAAGGCACCCCGGAGCCAAAGCCCAGCCTGAAGAAGTCCCACTCCAGCCCCTCCCTGCACCAGGATGAGGCCCCCACCACAGCCAAGGTGAAACGCAACATCTCAGAGCGCAGGACCTACCGGAAGATCATTCCCAAGAGAAACCGCCATCAGCTATGAGGTCATTCCCAAGAGAAACTGCCATCAGCTGTGACGTCATTCCCAAAAGAAACCGCCATCAGCTGTGACGCCGTTTCCAGCTCACAGACACTGGCCTCTGCTCTGGGGTAGACCTGAGATGAAACCTTACATTTCCAGGGCCGTGGTGAGGGATGAGGCATCGTCCCTTCTGTGATGAAGGATGGGGCTCATTTCCCAGTGTCCTCCATTTCCTGGCTCTCGAGAACTTTCTTAATCCTGCCGTACTTGCTTGCCATCTCCCCCATGGCAGCTCCTCCATCCCCCATCTCTGACCATTCAAGAGGAAGGTTGAGTGAAGGATGTGTCTCCACTTGCAGAATTTGTCCCCTGTGTGCTCCATCCCCTAAAACACAGAGTGGATTCATTTCCTGGGCACATGTGGGCCTGGGTTTCTAGGAGGTAGCTTGAGGTGGTCTAGCCAGGATGATCACATCACCAGAAACAGTCTTGTTTTAGAATTAGGCCACCTGGCAGAGGAGGGTTCCAAGAGTATAGGGCCTGACATCTTGGTCTTGTGACCCCAGGAGCAGCATTACTCCAGCACTGCCCACTAGGGGGCAGCCTTCTGATAGAGGCCTTGGCTGGTTAAAGGCTCAGCGGGGGTTGTGGGGCTTCAGGCCTCTGATCTTCCAGCGGCTTTATTCTCCAATCAGCCAGTGCCTCCAGGGCAGAGGAGAAGACTGCGTGCCTGATTGTTAATCAACAGAGCCAAGCTTGTGGCCACTCAGGCCACTCAGGAGGAGTGGGGGCCTCTACAGCTCCGTGTAGAGCTCTTGGAACAAGGAGCCTTTGTTTCCTGAGAGCAATGAAGGTGGTTCTTCAAGTGTAGACCACTGGGGAGGGTGAGGAGGTGAAAGGGTGGTGACAGTGCCCCTTGGGAGTCTGCCTGGTGGTAAAGTGGAGATCAGAGACCTGGGTTCTCGGCCAAACTTGGGGCACTGCCTTCTGCAGCCCTCACCGCCCCCCAAAGCCCACCCTCGATGCCCTTCAAGGCTGCATTCCTGAGGGTTGTCTGGACCTCTTTCTCTTTCCCGGGGCAGCTCCCAGGAATTTGCTGCCTTGCCTTAGGAAATCCCCTTATACTTTGTTTTGGCTTCTTCCCAGGTATGCCTGCTCTCCAGAGGAGGTACTGGAGACTCGGGGACTTAGGGCTGTGCCTGTAGGGAGGAGACTCGGCTCAGGGAGCAGCCACCATTGTCTCTGTTCAGCCATGTGTGCAGAGAGGTTTCTGGCCAACTGGGGGCCTCTGCTGCCTACCCTTCCACTGACACGTTACCTCTCCTGCCTTCCTGCTGGGCCACACATCCTCCCTTCCAATAATGCTTGTCACCACTCTGAGGGCTTGGAGCTCCACAAAGTGGGGCTGGTCCTTAGGGCCATGGCAGGGGAGTCCCTGGCCCATGCACCCAATGGGTGTGCAATAAATAGAGCCTACCAAAGAAACGTGTGTGTAAGTGTGTGAGGAAAGCAGAAGTTAGGTAGCCAGGGCTACCTGCAGTGTGCCAGGCTGCATCTTCCTTTGCCCCTGTTTGATATGTTTGTGTATGTATATAAAATGTTCTGCATGCTCATGTGTTTGCCCCAGTCACACAGCTAAAACCTACTGAAGCTCAGAAACATTTCTATCTACTCAGTGTTTTTCATTTTACAGATGCTCTGGGACACCTCACTTGGCCAGTGCTAGGGGATTTGAAAAGAGCACAATGTCCCTGACCTCGTGAACTGGCAATCTTGCCCACTAGTTCCCAGCTGTCAGTATTAAGATACACTTTATCTTGCTGGAGAAGCGTCTATTCCTATTCCTGCCTCACAACCAGAGATCTTAGACTCGGTAGACCTGTCAGGTGGATGTACATACATGTTTGGAGCTTCTCAGGCAACTCTGAGGTCTAGCAGAGGTAACAGCCACGTGAGAGTGCAAGTCTCTCATTGTGTTGAGAAGAAAACTTAGCGCGGGTAGATACGGCACGGCCCAGGACTGATGTTTACAAGCTAAGTGGGTGTGTGTGAGTTCTTTGACCTCATTAGACACTCATCCTGATATCGAATACCAGAATAAAAAGTAAAGGCTTGTCCACATCATGTGTGACGCTCAACACTCCTTTGCCCGTATAGAACATCCATTTCATTTGGTGCGTTTGGAGCTGGGAGACTGTGGCTGCCTGGCTTCACCAGGTCAATGATTCCAAACAGTCCACCCAAGGCTCGCAGAGTTAGAGACATGGTGGTTGGGCTGCAACTCTAACATGTGGCCACTGGAGGGCAAGCGTGCACCGGCCAATCATTGGGCAGGCCGGGTGCTTAGCTAAAGGGCCCTGCTTATTAAGAAGAAGGAAGTTAGCTTTGGGCCGCCACATTAACCACAATTTCCCATGTCTTCAAACTTACAGTGGTCCAAGCCCCGCCTCCCACGATCTGGGGAAACCTATCTCAGGCAAAGGCTTGAGGTGCTGGTATCTTTCTGTAGACAAAGAGGAAGACGTTCTGCAGCTTTATGGTGCAGCCAAGGGCTCCCCGCAGGCGGTGCCTGATTGCCAGAGACAGTGAGAACTGAGTGAGCCCCACCTGCAGTTCCAGGGGTGGGCAGGTCTACCTCCCATCTATGCACTGTGTAGGTCTTCTCCTCCAGGAAGAAGGAGATAGGTGGAGGCTCCTAGTGATGAATGCAGGATCTCTGGGGTCATGTTGGACCCCAACCCTTCTTCCAATCCCTAGGGTCCTGGGTCTACTGTACAGCCCAGGGTGATACCTGATGAAGCCTCTTCCTGGTTCTTGGATCTCTGCTCTGAGAGCTATCTGTAAGGGGACATTCATTTGCTGTCAGGCACCATGGAAGATTAAAAAAAAAAAAATCACTGTAGCCCAGGGCCTGGGTCCTCTCCTTTTAGGGGTTCAATGTCTTGTACACTAGCGACAAGGGGACCGTGTGGGAATTAAAAGTAGGTAGAAAGACAGAATAAAAGGAGCAAGGGAAATGGGGTTGGGGGGCACTGGGCCTGAATCAGAAGGTCTTGAACATAGCCAAGGTATTATACGGCTTTTGTGCAGTGGTTAAGCAGAGGAATGTTAGCACATGGCTTGCTTTCTGAGGAATAAGCCAGGGGTGGTGGTCTATGCCCATAATCCCAGTACTTGAGAGGCTGATGTAGAATTGCCATGAGTTCCAGGCCAGCTACATAGTAAGTTTATGGGCCACATAATAAGTTCCGGGCTAGCCTGGGCTTTGCTTGTCTCAAGCAAAACAGAACAAAGACGAGATGAATAAGTGAGGCCAATGGGGGCCAAGCCATGATCCTGCTTCCACAACTTTTATGTGTATCTAAATTATTTCAAAATTTTAAAAGGGTAAAATGTAAAGACAATAGCCCACAGTCTTGGAACAACCCGGCCTTCCCAATCCACCCTAGGCCAGGCTTCCTAATGACCGGTGTACATTGCTTCCTGATAGCACCGTTTCCTCCAGCTGTTTGGCTGCCAGTGTGCCTTGCCATCTTACTGGCTCGCCCACTTACCTGCTCTCTTGTTTTCTCCTCTGAAGAAAGAACAGTTCCGGAATGCTGTGGTTACAAGGCAGGGTGGACTTTTCTCCTTCCTTTAGGAGGCCCATGTTCTACCTGTCCAATTGTCTGGCAGATGCCTTCCAATGTCACCAATAGGACGAGGACATCAGAAGCCTTCTTTGGACTCTGCTGCTTCCTGTGGCTGACACTGGTTTTCCTTCTGTCTGTGATAAACTCCCAAGATGACTCCCATTTCTACCTGGCTCTCCTTCCTTCCTTCCTTCCTTCCTTCCTTCCTTCCTTCCTTCCTTCC